ACCTCTGCCTACCCATTCGGGGATAAAAAGCGTGAAGTTATGTTATATTATATTATCACTACATAGTATAAAACAAAAGTCGCTATCCGCTGTCTGTCTGTACCTATGTATGTATATTAGATCTTTAGAACTACGAAACGGATATTGATGTGTTTTATTTTTAATAGATAGAGTGATTCTTAAGGAAAGTTTATATGTATGATACATGCATATTGCACCCGTGCGAACCGGGGCGGATCGCTTGTTAAATAATAATGCTTAATTCTGATATCATATTATTTTAATTATGCACGTAGACATATCCCTCTAAAAGCATCATTACTGGTTCGCTTTACATTTCCATACACGAAGGCATTAAATCAAAATGGTACTATTAAATCATCAGGATAATATGAAATCTAAAAGGGTTCACTTTTGGAACGAAATAAAATTTTCTACCTGAGCAATGCGAAAGGAAATTGAGTTTTCAATTCGAATTACATTTACTGTTTTGCCCTAAAAACACAGGCCCTCATCTAATCCTAATTTGTTGGAGGATTTGGTCCGAGCGCGAAATCGTTTAAGGGCGAGAGATTCTGAGGCCAGCCGGCGACTGAGAGGCTCTTCAAACTTCGCACCGAGTAGGCACACACTCATTCAAAACATACGAATATTATCTGAATATAACCATAATTATGTTTGACATCTGTTCTTGGAAGCTTATTCAGTATTAGAATTTTGTTTTAGTAAAAGAAAATTCCATTCCATTTAATTTTTTTTTATAACTGAAGTAAGTAAATCATATCAATCAACAGTTTAATACAATTCGAATTTCTTAAGAGCAGTCTTACAAAGTAAAGCCATTAGTCTGCGACTTGAAAACCAGATCGCACCCACGCAATATGTACACACCTACTTGAAAAAATCTACTTAACTTCTCAAGAAATATAGACGGTTATGAATGATAAGTAAGAAATTTTTCGTTAGATTTCTCTTTAAATACATTTACGCAATTCCAGTACACTTTTACAGAACAAACACGGCTGTTGGAATTACTCTAGGTAAGTACCTGCGAGCCTATTGTTTGAACTTGGTGCCGTTTTCGTTGAGCTTAAAAGTTTTCCTGCAGAGGTTTTCTTTCTGTTTGTTATTGTTGTGTGTATAATTCGCTCGACATTTTGTCGGCAATGATGTTTGGAGGTGAAGATTGGGCTGTGCGCGGTGCGTCGTAAACACGCCTCAGGGAAATACCTGCGCCGCCCGCCGGTAGCTGCGTCGTCGCCGGCAGCGCGCGGCGCCCGCCTGAGACCACTTACTGCCGCCTGCTGACTAAGCAGGTGCTCATCGACGTACTTTGCCTTACTTTAACTGTACTTTTTTCTTTTCCGCAATTGTTTCAGGTGTTATCGCTACCTGGCGGAGGCTGGGCCCTTCTAAATAACCTTTTATCTTAACAGACGTCGTTTAGGGACGCGTACTGATTCCGAGAATTGTAGTGTTATCTAAGGGTCTTGAGTCTCACAATTTGGGTAAAGAAATAGGTTCTTTATTTTTATAATCGTTTAACATTATTTATACTGAGTAATTTATTATAACCTAACTGTTGCCTGCGACTGCGTCCGCGTAGAATATGATTCTTGTTTTGTCCCTTGGAAGCATTTAATCGGGATAAAAAGTATCCTAAATACCAAATGTCATCAAAATCCGTTGCATGATTGACGAATTAACATCCAAACAAAGAAGCTTTTACATATAACTATAATATTAGTGTTATTAATGTGACAACCGTAGCAAGAAGACTCTCAAGAAGATCTCTATTTACGTTCGCTAAGTTATGTTACCATAAAATGTACCGATTACGTTCCACCGCATCCCTATTTCGATAATTTCGCACGAAATACTTGAATATTGTATGAAACTGTTATATTCGCTGTACCGAAAGCTGTAAATCAATTCGGTTTCATAAAAATATCTGTAGGAGATTTACTAGATATCGGAGCCCGGCCCACCGTGGGAAATATGAAAATTGGAAATACATGCATGGCCCGATACGGCGCGGAATAAATTTCGACCCTATTTGTAAGCGAACCTCAATATCGCAAAGTGTAGTACTTGTACTCTCGAACGCGTAGCTAGTAAACTACAAGGATTCAATTATTTCAATGTCATTTAATGTTATATAAACAGGCGGGTAAGCATTATTACCATAATATAATTTATATTCATATAGGACTTTGGACAGTCCTTACCACAAATACCTCAGACAAACTTCTTTCTTTCATCTTAGTATTTAAAGCACTGCTGCACAAAGCACTTGAATTCTCGTAGGTATTGATAATGATAACTTTCGACATCACATCCCTGTCAACAGTTCTAGGCATAGGTAAGATAGTATTGATCGAACAAAACTTAGTGTCGGCGTTTTACCGAATTAGGAGACCGGTGTTGAATCTTTAATTCCAATTAATCAATAGAATGTAGGTTTGTGCCACTCGACTTGAAGATAAGCCCCAATCGAAGGGAAGTGTGCGGTGGGTACTCCTAAGTACTGTTCAATAAAAAGGATTAATCAGATCAAAGGTCCGATCAATTTATTTAGCTACAAGTCATTTATCATTGATAACAATAAGCTTTGCATTCGTAAAGATTTTATCAACAGTTCTAAAGAATAATTTTCCTAAGTAAGTACAACAGGATATTAGATAAAATAAAGTATAGTAGAGAAACTGGTCTGCCTAGTTCCATCAGGTGAAATCTTTAATTGTGAATGATAGGTGGACCAAAATCTCCTTGCATTTTCGTTTTGGGAAAAATTTCGTGGTTTCAACGTCTAGCGTTGTAAGTAGGTACAGTAATAGACAACATTCTATCCTCAGTCTGTTAATTCGACATGCGTGGGACGAGACCAGCTGATGCATTAACCTAACCTAGGCTTTTTGCTCTTCCCTCGCTTGTTTCTAGTTAAAATGAAGAATTGTTTTGTTGTATTTCGTGTTGGTTAGATGCACCCTTTGCAAAGAGAATGAACATTGAAACAGTTCGGGCATAAATTAATGTTAAAACGATTTTCCATCGCTTTGTCACACACCTTTCTTTGACTGACTTAAAATAAAACAGCATGTATTTGGTTTTCTTTGTATGTTTCACCAACGCAACGCGGAGAATCCAATCAACTTTAACTTCTGGATATTTTAACATTAATTTAGATGTTAATGTGATCATTAAACACTTTGTTATCAATATTTGGATAAAAAATGTGTCAGAAAATTTGCTAGGTTTAGAGCGTTCTCCGTTAAAGTTAGAAACAGTTTAAAATTTTTAGTTTATAAAACAGAATCAATGAATCAGTAGATATATTGGAAAGGGTTTCTAATAAAATAAAAGGTTGTCGTTGCGGCGTGTGACCCAGTTCGGTCAGAGGGATTACAGAGAGGCGCAATGTTTTGGCCATCACAGTTTAATGTGCTCCCCGAAGTCCCTACTCATCCCAACGGTCGCCAAATAATTAGAATCTATTTTTTGTTTCCTTATTTGGACTTTTGGACTTCCACCTGCTTTATTTTAGACGAAGGTCATGTTATACGTTCCGACTGAACGGTAATGGAAATTTATTTCGTGCTTCAAAACGTTGAATTTGTAAATGAATTGGTCAAAACGGTGAGTAATCTTGTAATGGTTAAAAAGGAGAAGTTCTAAACAGCTTTAGATTATATTTGTAGTAGTAGCATTATAGTACAGTAATTGTAATAATAGTCGAGTTCAATAGTCTGATAGCGATCATACGTTTGAGTTTCATATTTTCGCAATGGCTTGAACCTTAACCCGAAGTAACAAAGCGAATCATACAATACTTGTTATAGGCACTGCTGGATAGTAAAACATTTGAAACATTATAAGGAAAAGGCAAAAGGCGGCAAAGATTGTCGCTTAGTATTCAGCGGGCGAGTCGACCGTGGTTGCTAACACAGGCCCAGATTGTCGCGTAGGACATTTTTGGACACGTTGACTGTACGGGCTTTGTTTGGTTTCCCTCGTTTGAAGGACAATATTTGCTAGTTAGTTTTGTTACTTTTCCTTCGAAAGGGTAGGCTAAGGGTAGGCCGGGGATACGTCACTCATTAAGTAACAGTTGAAATGTTTTTGCGAATTAGTACCTACTTTTATAAGAAATTATTACAAGAAAATCTAAGGTTATCCGCCGCGACTTGTACACAATCAGCCATGAAATCGGTAATGGTACGTAAGACACTTATTTTAATTATTGTGAAATAGTACTGCATTGGCTACTGCAGCAGTAGGTACCTACGATACGACGCCATTGTGGTAATCGATGGTACATATCTAACATATCTATTTCAATCCTTTAGGGTAAGTAAGCTATGGGTCACTTCTCTACATTGCATTTGCACTTAATAGAAATTACTAGGTTTTATGAGATAGTTACGAACGTTGTTCTAAATAAGGATTATCGAGTTATTTCCAATTGTACAGCCGTTGTTTTACCGTTTAAATCCAAGCAAATAATAATAGATGATGAAATGCGCTCTGCAAAATCAATTTTCTCGATAAAGCACTTCCCCTTCTCTAGTACTGATGGTACGTAAACAGGTTTCGAGCCGCATCGCACTGCCCGCTGCCAGAGCACACGTCCCACGTTATGAAATGGGAATTAAATTGTCTGTGAAGAATACAACGGGATTACCATTTATTCCTAACAAGACGTACTCCGTTTAAATCCGTGTGCCGTAAATCCACTGCGTCATTCTACTGTTCATATAATATAGGATCTGCAACCCGAGCGCCAATGTATACTAAAGCATTTGTAAGATCGCTACGACGTGCGGTGTTCCGAGCTCGTAGTTCTGAGGCATTCAGGAGTGCAACGGGATAGAGTCTGGCACGCCACGTACCCACGCCGGCTTGGCATAACGTAAACACACGAAGGATTATAAATGGAAAATCAGTTTCAAAATGTTTGCATTTAATATTAACACATAAATAAAATAACAATATTATACAAATTAATCAAAATATTCATAATGGTGTAGATGATGGTGAAAGTATGAAGGATTACCGTATTTTTTGCTGATTTGCTTTCTAAAAGGGGCAAGAATGGGATATGCCTGTTTTTCGAACATGTAGTGATATTTATTGCGAGAAAAATAATTCAAGTTATTTTGATTCATTAATTTTGGTTCTCGATTCTGAGATGAGGGTTGTTTTATTATCGGCATACTGTTTAAGAATTGTAAATATTCTGTGCGTGGTGGGGGTGTGTTCACGTAGCTATTAGGGACTACTACTCCTACAAAAGGGCCCTGTCTCATCTGTTGTGTGGCTTGTACTTGATAGTCATGCTCCAGAGGCTTCTGGGTTTGGAAGATATACCCTGATGCTACTGGACTTTTGGGTACCGTTTCTGTTTCCAGTTGAATAGGTACATGATGATTGTTATGTTTCGAGTAATCTCTGGATTGTAGAATATTATTTGTATCCATGTCTTGAGACATGGTTTTATTTGATGTGTTTGCTGAATCCGGCTCTTCAACAAATTTCGGTGGGTACAGTGTCTGATACTGTTCAGTAATATATTTTGATTCGACGAAAATATTAGATGGTTGTGGTGTGTGAGTTGGGATCTGATTGTCTGGATTATCGCCACCATATAGTCTCCTAAAAGAGTCTTTGGTATACTGAGGTATCATGAGCCCATTAAAACTGCCGTTTGACGGTTCTGACTTTCCGAGAGAGTTCTTAAGTTGACTATAATATTTTGTCTTTTCCATTGGGTTTAACATGCCTGTGTTACTAACTAATCTTCGATAAGTTGGGTCATCTCCAGCATACTTGGGTATCACATGCACTTTATGACTAATGTTTGAAGTTTTTGGGGTTTCAAGAGGATTCTTAAGTTGAAAAAAATATTGAGTCTTGCCCGCTGGGTTTCCAACGTCTGTATTATCTACATCATAAAATTTTCTATAATCTCCGCCGCCTCTCGGATATTTGGGTAGAAGATGTACATTGAGGCTAACGTTTGAAGGTTTCATGCTTCCGCGGGGGTTCTGAAGTTGAAAATAATGTTGTGCTTTTTCTATTGGATTTAAAATGTTCGCATTACCAGCACCAAATGGCTTACTATAATTGTCGCTTTGGAGATACTCAGGTAAGAAGTTTACATTGAGACTAACGTTAGAAGTTTTCGGGTGTCCGAGAGAGTTCAGAAGTTGATAATAATAGCGAGCTTTTTCCACAGGGCTTCTAATATCTGCGTTATCAGCACTAAATAATCTTCTATAGGTATTGTCGGTTCTGAGATACTCTGGTGAGACGTTTACATTCAGACTAAAATTTGAAGATTTCGGGTGTCCGAGAGAATTTTTCATTTGAAGATAATATTGTGCTTTTTCCGCTGGGCTTAAAACGTCTGCATTATCGACATCATACAATCTTCTATAAGCGTGCTTGCTTCTAAAATACTCAGGTGGAAGGTTCACTTTTGGACTAAAATTTGAAGACATTGGGTGTCCGAGAGAATTTTTCAGTTGAAAATAATATTGTGCTTTTTCCACCGGGCTCAAAACGTCTGCGTTATCGACATCATACAATCTTCTATAAGCCTCATTGCCTCTAAGATACTCAGGTAGAATATTTACATTGAAATCAACATTTGAAGATTTTGGGTGACCGAGAGATTTTCTCAATTGAAAATTAACTTGTGCTCTTTCTTGTGGGCTCAAAATACCTGCGTTATTAGCTTCAAGTAACCTTCTGTGATTGTTGTTATCTCTAAGGTAATTAGGCAGCAGGTTTACATTGAGACTAAAATTTGAAGGATTTCGATTTAGATTAGGAAGAGAGTCCTTTGATTGAAAATAAGGTTGATTTATTTTCGGTAAGTTTAAGATACCTTCATTATTCAAACTGTATAGTTTCCCATTAATGGGCCCCTCTTTAATATATTTGGGTAGGAGATTGACATTAAGACTAACGTTTGAAGGTTTTGGGCTAACCAGTGGATCTTTCATTTGTGCATGATCTAGTTGTGCTGCCTTTTCTACGGTATTTAAAAGGTTTTCAAGATCTTGTAAACTTAACGAAGGTACAGTACTGGCGTAAGTTGCAAATTCATTTTCAAGATTTAAAAGGCTTTTTTCATTACTGTGTTTTAAAGTGCGTGACTCATCAAGGTAATTAATGTTTGGTTTGACATCTGAAATTTGAGGAAGTGGGGATCTTACCGATCTTTCCCAGAGCGATCCAGGGGAATAATAATTTTCATTGAGAACGGAATGAAAGGGGAGTTGTCGAGGTTTTTCTGTATTGAACGGATGGTCTGATTTAGTGTCAGCATTACGAATCATAGACGCGATCTGTCTCCCTAAGTTCGTGTAGTACTCATCGTCAGCGCTTGGTTTATTCAAATTTCTAGTTTGGTCTCCTGAATTTACTACTTCAGGTTCAACACGAGGAAGCACTTGGTCGGCAGTATCAAAATTACGGCGTGTTTGCTGTGCTTTAAGATTTTGCAAATGTTTTAAATCATTGGTGTCAAAAGGTATTGTGGGCATAAGCGATGGTGATATATTTCTAGCAAGTGATGGTGGTATATTTTTAGGTGCACTATTATTTACTCTATGTATTAATTCTGATAAATATTTAAAATCAACATCTTTTAAATTAGGGATTTGTGATACATGGTTCTGTTTTTTAAGTTTAGGTTTTTTAACGGATGGCAATGTGTCTGATATATTTGGTATATCATCTAGATTTACAACCAAGTCACTTTCATCGTCTGATGTTGGTGTTACTATATTTTTCCTTTTTTCTTTCATTTTGTCACGTAGTTTTTGCATCTGTAAACAATGTGAAATTACAATTACGCATTAAGTGTTGGATTACGGTATTTTATAATGTATAGTTGTCTCTATGTCTGCATACAATAAAAGATTAAATGGTATTCATTCGTTGTTGCAATGGAAATAATTCCTAAATAAATTAACTTAACTAGCAATTATTTCAAAAATACTTACGAGCTTATTTCGCTGCGCGTGCTTGAGTTTTGCTTGTTTCCTGAAATATACATTTGTTTTAATTTTTGTTAATTATGTTTATATATCATAGCTGTATCATTAATAATCCTGTGATTGCTGGTTTAAAATGAAACCACAGTAGTCTCAAATACACAAAAAAATTATATTAATGCGTTGCTATAGTTCTAGTGTAGGTAGGTAGTGTGTGTCATTCGCAATTCTTAATTGGACTGTACATATGTGTGTAGCAATATAATCTAAAATTAACTTGTAGTTTGGACTATACATTAACTGTATCTTAAAGAAATGGGAAGCTGCGTTGCTTTTACCTATGATTTATTTTCGAAACTGATAATTAAAAGATAATTATTTTTATACCCGGGTTCGCTAGCTCGAGGCATGTATTCTTCATCATCTTCATCTTCATCTGTTGGTATGTTTCTGTGTCTTTCAAGTTTACTGCGTCTGCGGTCATTGCTAGAAGGAACTACAATTGTGTCTGTTGTTTTAGTCGTATTCGTTGTAGTCGTTTCAGTGGTAGTGGTAGTAGTAGTAGTAGTGCTATTTTCCTCATCACATTTTGGAATACCTAGACATAGTTGAAGGTAGTTGTTTATTTACGTTAGGAATTCGTTAATGAGTGAAATAAAATAATAATGCAAAAGGCATACCTGGGAAAGGATATATAGGAGGACCCACCGGTGGTACTGGGACCATAGGGTACATTGGCATTGGTGGCGGAGGCGGTAAGCCTATGGGAGGGTAATATGGTGTATCCATATTTGGTAAGAAAATAAATGATGGCAATGGCGGTTTGGGTCTTCTATTAAATATTATAACTTTTTTATGACCGTGATCTTTGTCTCCTTCAGACCCAGATTCAGATTTCTTTCCATCACTCCCTTCACTTGAACCGTCACTGTTACTATCGCTGTCACTGGAACCGGAACTGCCACTTGAATCAGAATCCGATTCAGAATCAAACAAACTGTCATCTTCTGTAATACGTAGGAGCTTTCTCCGCAGTCCACGCGCTTTCGAATTATGCTTTCTTTTCCTGCTGCGGCCGAACCTTCGAGTTTTTATTCTTTTTGTTGAACCGACTACTGGTCTACCATCTCCGCCACTTCTACGTGTTGGTGGCTTTTCATTATTATTCGATTTTGTATTATTTGAATTACTTATTACTTGATTCTCAATTGTTTTAAAGAACTGGTTGTAAAGCCAGTCGCCGAGTTCGTCAGTGTCCTTGGGAATTTCATTAATTTTATTACGACTTATTGTGGTATATGGATTGGGTTCTGTACTTGAGACGATGCTTGGGACATCGTAAATAGGCGTGGGCTCACTGTAGTAATGTCGACGGATTTCGTGTGTTAATTTTACACTGAAAAATGTATATTTATTAATAGTTATTATTTGGTATTAGTTACATAATAAATTATAAAAAAGTCAAAATAATAATATCTCCTTCATTGATGATTTAGAAAAACTGTATAAAGTACTTTGGTTCACATATTTTTGTGTCGGTATCGAAGTAATATCCTGGATGGCAGTGACAGCCGACCACGCAGCCAGGGATGCCATCGATGCAGTACTCGAACCTACCGTGCGGTCCACATTCTGAAAGCAAGTTCAATAAAAGTCTTATGTACCTACTGAATACATAAATTCTCTAGTGCAATTTAATATAACTTTAGATTCCTATAAATAAGACCATTGCTTTGAGTTAAGCACACAACTGTCAAATAATAAAGTAATGACGTACCATACCGCACTTCTTTGGACATATAAACACCGGAGCATGTCACCAGAAAACACAATAAAACTGAAACACACATTAGAGTAGTGCGAAGTAAACTGTACACATTAGAAAATGTTATTATAAAACAAACAACATTTTGTGATTACTATCGAACCTCTCTGAACACTTGTTTTACTAAAACATACTTTTCACTTTGTTTTTTGGCGATGTATATTACCTAATTGTTGGAATTACCATTGTTTCTATAGAAGTAGATCTCAGTTTACACAACACGCTCGTCTATTTCAGAACTAGGATATAAGTTAGAAAATCGAAATCTATGCACTAACAATGGCTGTATACTTTGATGACTTATTGCAATGAACTAAACAATGGCACATTGAAATGATAAACTGGGTTAATGGAGGCGAATGCTAAATCATATCAACTTTATGTATCTTTAGATGACGACTTTTTATAATAGGTAGAAGATAGTTTACTTTAAAATTGAATTACTTTCCTGACAATACTTGCTGCTATCAAAGGTATTGCAATTTTAGTAGCATTCATTTTTATTGCGCAATTGCTACCCAGACTACTTAGGCACTAAATGCATACTACTAGAAAGCAGTAGAATGACAGTGGAGATATCTCTCTCTCTCTCTCTCTTTGACTGTATATATAATGGGTATAACCTATGCTTGTTGTCGTGTCAAATATGTACTAGCTGTTGGTTCTTGTAATAAAAAAAATGTATACTGTTACTAAGTTATTTACAAACGATTTTACGTAAAATTCTGGGAAATATAAGTTTATCTGAAGCATTATGGTATTGAGCATTAGGTATAACAATATGCGCCTTTGAGGCTCTAGAACTCAGAAATCAGGACTTAAACCAAAAAAATACTTTCTTCTTTTTTAAGTATTTAACTGATATAATCTCTAAGTAATGAGAGAAATAAAACATTGCATTTATATCAAAAACAATATATTAAGTATAAATAGGTATTAGGTGTTACAATCGTATAACAATCGTATATAACATTTTATTATTTCACTTAAATATCGTCGCCTAGATCTGGGATTCCTTTGAGGCCTCTGCAACAGAAATATAATTATGATTACATTTTTGACACGTTTTAGCAAACGAAGTAGGAGTTAGTTATGTGAAGATAAAATCAACTGACATTATTTCATAGTAAAATTTTGCTTAACTATATCTTTGGAGGCTTAACAAAATACTTTTCCCACGACAAACAATATTCTACTTTCAAAAAAAAAAAAAAACAATCAGCCGAACATAGTACTCCTCCTTTTTTTGAAGTCGGTAAAAATTTGTATTTCGTTCAACATAGAATAGGCACACAGGATTTATAGCATATCTAGCGAGGAAAGTCTAGTGTACGCCTTATTTTAAGGATTTGACTAATGTTCAAGGTCATACTTGGTGCATTCTTCGGGTAGTACGCATTTGTGTGTCCTGTCATCGCGTACGTAGGGGTGTACGCAAATACAGCCAGGCTCACAGAATGGGTAGCAGGGTCGCAGGCGGTCGCGAGGGTTGTCACAAGTCACCGATGCGCAGCCCGCAAAGCATGCTTCGTACCTATAAAAGTTAAAGTCAAGGTCAAATAAAATTAGATTACATTGGAAGTCAAAAATAATAAATATGTGTATGTAATTGGTCCTTTATTAAAACTAAATGTAATTTAAATCAAAGTGTAATTTCTGATGAATTTACATTGAATTCGAAGAATTAACCTCAGAAAGAAAGTCTTATTTAGGTTTTTTCCAGCAGTTTTGTTTAAATGCTGGCTTACTTTTTATAATATTTAGGACTAAACTGCTATGAAGTATGAAAGCAGGATTAATGCGGTGGAAATGAGAGCCCTGAGGAGTATGTATGGAGTAAAATATAGTGATCGAGTTAAAAATAGCGTTACTAGAGAAAGGTGTGGATTGAAAGATGATGTAGTGACAAGGATTGGAAAGGGAATGTTACGCTGGTATGGACATGTAGAAAGGATGGATGAAAGTACAGTAACGAAAGAAGTACCTATACAGAGCGGATATGAATGGGGCCGTCTGTAGAGGGCGCCTTAGACATATACTGATCAGATTGGCGATATATTAAAGAACGGCCAAACTAAAAGTACCCTTAACTGACGAGCATGCATGAAAAGATTGATGACTGTTGATGAAACAAAAGAGGTATGTAAGAATCGTAGTAATTGGCGTACCATAATCTCTGCCAACCCCCATAGGAGACACGCGTGAAGTTATGTATGTATGTAAACGGATACAAAAATATTTAAATAAAGTACCTTTCGTGCGGTCGCTCGCAGTTCATGGACGACTGTGGCTTCTTATCCCTCTCAATATCTTTCCTGTCATCCCTGTAAATAAAAGTAAGTAGATTGAAACATCTCTCACCAACACACACAAAGCTGGATCTAGTTAGCACTCACAAGTATGACATTGTATGGGTCACTTCTGAACTTTTTAATATTTGCTGTGGATTTACTTTCTCATCTTCGTAATGCCTTTGTCCTGGTCTGTACGGGGATGACACGTCTATATCTCTTTGTCTATCCATGTCTCTTTGTCTGTCCATATCTCTTTGCCTGTCCATATCCTTTTGTCTGTCCATATCTCTTTGCCTGTCCATATCCTTTTGTCTGTCCATATCTCTTTGCCTGTCCATATCCTTTTGTCTATCCATGTCTCTTTGTCTATCCATATCTCTTTGCCTGTCCATATCTCTCTGCCTGTCCATTTCTCTCTGCCTGTCCACATTGTCTCTCGGTCTGTCCATTGCTCCTCCGAACGCCTTTGTTTCTGGCTCATCCATATACCTGTCTCGCTCTCTTGGATCTCTAGTATCATACTCGTGTCTCCTTCTATCCCAATCCTTGGTTTCTTCTATGGGTTTCATTAAAGCTTTCTTCCTCCAATTTCTTCTTTCGTCTAACAGTGAGTGTCTTTTGTTGGTATCAACTTCTTCATAATCGTAACCAAGAGCTCTTGTTGCCATTGCTACGATATTATCTGTAACATAAAAACTTATTGCCCATTATCTTTTTTCCAAAAAATATAAATATTACTATTTCGGTACACCTACATAACAACAACGCCAATAAAAGTAATTTCCGCATATTGTTAAACTTTTTGTGAACGTGTATCAGTTCATGGTTTCAAAATGGCTGCTAGATAAGTATCGCTCCGTTTCACTTTACGTCTTATTCGGAACTAATCGTGGAAACTTTGTCTGACAAAACGAATGATATGACGGGGTGTGATTGCATTCATACCATTATCGATACTTAATAAAAAAAATAGACAGCAGAGAAAATGTGAACAAAAAGTATTGTATTATTGTAGTTTTTTTCCAAAATGATAATCGACTACAATATCAAACAAATGCAGCTTTGTATGGAACGTTTAACAATTGCAGTAAATAAACGATGCAAAAGGATAACGATTGTTCTCTAGAGTGCACTCAAAGTTACCAAGAAGTAAAAGAATACTACGTGTGACGTAGGATTTTAGTCTACAGGTAATATATCTAAGTAATTAATAAGGTGCTTGTGCAGCTATAATATATGAGGATGCTAATTAAAGAAAAGCGTGACAATTATTTATGAATCTTTATTTTAACTAAGACATTTAACATTACATGGTGTATTTAAGTCATTCGTTTGGCTCCATTTCTGAAGGCATCATTTTGTAGGAGTTTTCTAGGTTGCAGGGCTTTGATGGGTGGTGGTGCTATGACAATATTGAAGTAATTACCCATGCGAGACACTTCGTTGCCGCGCTGTTTAAATGAGTCATCGGCTTTAGGGTTCACATTGGTGCTGACACTGATAGGTGCATTGTTGCTAATAGTGTTTGCTACATCATTTTCTACAAATTCCATTGCTTCTGTATCTGTGCGATCTGAGCGCTTAGAGTGAGCCCGAGCCACTCTATTTTGGTATTTTGGTTTATCTTGTGCCCTCTTTGCTGGTACTGGTATTCCCATTTGCGTTCTGTAATGTCAAAACAATGTTAATGTTGTTTGGCAAGTCAAGTCTTGTCTCTTTATTGCCGTCTACTTGTGTTAGCTAAACTCTACGTATATTACTGCTCCGATAAAACTCTGAGGAGCATGACTACGATTAGTAATCCTTAATCTAACAGAATTGTTATGTAATTTACCACTGCTTCTTTGAGTCTGTCTATTACTTAGATCTGGAAGTAAATAATATTAATACAACGAACCTATTGAGGCGATGCTGTTATCATGTGCATATGAAGTTTCACTACAGAGAAATTATCTTCATAGCAGAAGATTACCCATACTCAAATAAAGACTAAGCCAAAGGGCAGATCATTGTTCAGCAATGGACTTCTGATGATGATGATGATAAAGCCAATACCACTTCTCAGTAAATAATCGATACAAAAACCTCAAATTTTAATATATTTTTTCCAAACTTGTTACAATTCGTATCGTCTTCAGTAAGTAAGCCAGTCTTGCTAAGATGTGTCAATTAGTTGAAAAGGTTCTAAGAAGGCTACTAATATTTATACTGGCGCTAACGTGTTAGGCTTTCTTTACGAGTGTATTTTCACGGCTGTCCATTAACTGGCTTTCACTGTAGCCTAAAAATACGTGCTATATGTGCCCAAGTTTTATTTATGTCTCTTTTATATTCTTGTAGGGCAATTTGATTAATACTGAATGCTTTGAACTTAAAAATAAAAATGAAATAAAGTAAAATGTTCTGTTAATTTTGCACCAAATGAAAGTTTTGTGTAGACATTATAGACTTGTACTGCAGATCGGTACACGTGTGTGTAGATTATCTAGTATACTGTTGCGTTAATTCAATATTAGTAATGAATGGAAATACTAATAAGAATACACAATCAACTTTTCTTAATGTGGAACAAATTGACAAATGATCTTATTCTAATTCTATTACAAAGAGATCTTTTGTATATTATTTGATGAAATCACTTCATTTGTTGTCTATTTCACTGTAATGCAGGTGAAAATGACAACAAAGATGTAATTTTATGATGTCTACGAAAGTTGATAGACCCGTACCTGATTAAATGAGCACGGTACATTTGTCCTCATATTATTTTACAGTACCTATATTTATGAATATACGGCATATCAAGAAGTGTAATTGTAAAATTAGGAGACCCAATCCTTATAACCACTATAATGACTCCTCAAGTCCATGGATAGCGTTGTTTGCTTACCATCAGGTGAACCATTTGCTCGTTATTCTAGAAAAATAAAATTTTAGTAACACATATACCCACGGTGAGCAATCCGGAGGCAGCACACACTGATGGGTCCGGTCATCACGGACATATGGCTCTTCACACACACATCCAGGCTCGCAGTAGGGGTAGCACGGACGCAGGTGGTTGCGAGGGTTGTCGCACGACACCTCAGCACACCCGCCAAAACACGGCTCATACGCCTCGTTTGGCCAATAGCATGCTAGAAACATAATATTCCACTTATATTAATTTATTGTTATTGTTTTTAAAATAAAATCTGGTGACTACTGATACTGGCTGCTACAAAACCAAAGATACGAGCGTATTTATGAAAATGTCACACAGTTTTTCATAAATTTATATGTCTTTTTTTTTTAAGGGGGGAAAATCATCGAATGAATGCTCCCGCCTGGGTCAGGAGGGAGGGAGGGAGTGTCAGACTCTTACTGACTAAAAACCACCCCGTTCCTTCTCTTGCACGTCGAGCCGGAGCCCCGGTTACCCGTTAGGTTCTCCGCGACTCCGAATCGGCATCGGCCCTATTGGGCCCCATCTGAAATTTATATGTCTAGCGCTACGGCACCTATTATTATTCTTAAATGTATGAGAATGTACACCTCTTAAAACATTTTTTTTTATTTGTTATTTTTTTCTCTAAATAGTAGAGAGAGACAGACTAGTAGATCAGCTTACCTTATCAAGGTGGACTATAGTGTGTATATATAAATCCGCCTCTGTACTATTTCTGTACACAAAATTTTAAACAAAAAATCAACTAAGCCATTAAAATGTAGGTAAAGAGCTACTTAGCTTAAAGTACAATCACATTTAATTAGCTAATTAGTAGACTACATATAATAAAGAACAACAATATTGTCTCAAAACGTAAATGAAAAAATATTTACAAAAGGTGAAAAGGTCAATTCTCTTTAGCCACTTTCACAGGTAATAAGTTATTGATGAGGAGTAAACTTTGTTTAAAAGCTTTTAGGAGATACCGAACTAACATCTTAGGTCCCTTAGGATATTTTCAAAATACATTTTCCTTTTAAATAGTGCGCAATTTCTCACATCGGCACATTATTGGGTATCTAAGGGCACTAAATTTAGTTGCGGACTAGACTTTTCCTTTTGTAGTCGTTTCCACAGGTCCATTACTGCTCCCAGGGGCGCTACTTGATATCCTTCGACTTACACTAGTCGCTCTAAACTTAGACGGTGTACTTACTATAGATAAAATCCTATGTGGGAGAGTAAAGCTCTTCCTACATACATAATATACTATGCATGTAACTTAAACTCGTTCTAGTGCATATAAAAAAGCAACGAAAGTACCTTTCATAATTTTATCTTCATCTCTACACGATCCGTATTGAAACCAACTCGTTAGAATCACTAAACAAACCAAATTATACATTTCTCAAAAATTGCCTCGACACAACTGCTCTTTGCGATTATCCGTATGTGACTATCGGCGATTGTTTTCGAAAGGGTTTTTTTTCCATTGTTTGTATTGAATTGCGTTTGAAGGTTGATTTTGATGATCCTAGTTATTATTAATACGTCAGAGGGACTGCAGTGGAGGGCTGAGAGGTCGTCATACTGTATGATAAGGGTTATGTTTGGTAAACACAGGGAAAGGCCGGCTAAGCCGCGTCTGATTGAATTATTGCTTGTGTTGTAATTTCTATGTGGAACGTCACGTACGGCTGATATTACTCATACAAGTTGTTTCAGTTCTATAATGGTGTGATTAAAAATATCACGTCTTTGGTTTCTGTGGGAATAGGTTTATCAATCCTTGTTATGTTTATGATAAAGAAAAAAAAACTAATTCACAAATAGTTTCTTTTAAATTACTTCCAAAGATTTTGCCACAATTTGCTCCAACTAAAACCATTCCTTCTCCTGAACGTCGAGTCGGAGCCCCGGTAACCCGTTAGGTTCTCCACGACTCCGAATCGGCATCGACCCTGTTGGGCCCTATCTGTGGTGGTCTGATGGCTCTCTGAGGCGCGCACATGGGTCTGTGTTTAGGTTAACCTAAAACACTACCGCTCCAAATATATAGTGCGTTTATATTATTATTCCATTGAGCAGTAATATAATTCCATCCATATTTAATCAACTTACAAATACATTAATTACTGCTACTCCCAGAAACATTCATTTATACAGGAATAAACGGAAAATCGAACGTGTAATTGCTTATAGATTTGTGTTCAAAGCGGTATTTGATTAATATAGAAGGAGCTTGGAGGTCGTATAGATATAGATAATAATACTTATAACATAACATCATACCTTTTATATCCGAAGGGTTAGACAGAGGTATATATTATGCCACTGTACAATGTAAAATTATGTTATTGCATGTACTAGGGGGCGAGCCTATTGCCATATACCGGGCACAATTCCAAACTCCGTGCTACTACTGAAAATTTATAAAAAACCGTAACCGTAAGTAATACTTTCCCCGATCCGGGAATCGAACCCGAGACCCCTTGCCCGGCAGTCGCACTTACCACTCGACCAACAAGGCAGTCTTGTAATAATCTTATATCTTATCTTATACTACTATTATATGAAGCGGAAGAGTTTGTTTTTTTGTTTGTTTGTTTGAACGCGCTAATCTTCGTAACTACAAGTCTGATTTGAATAATTCTTTTCGTGTCGGATAGCGCATTTATCAAGAATGGCTATAGGCTATATAACACACGCTACGATCAATAGGAGCTGAACAGAGCATGTGAAACGGCGCGGAAGTAGCTAGTACTTATACATGAAATAAATCATTTTAACTTGACTATACTGGCTTCTGTCAGAGTCCTCTTGGGATAAAAATGCTAAAAATGCATAAAAATGCTCTTGGGATAAAAAGAGGGCTATGTGTTATTCCAAACCTTAATCTACCTCTGTTCCAAATTTCATCCCGATCCCTTCAGCCGTTTTGACGTAAAGGAGTAACAAACAAACGAACAAATAAACACAAACTTTCGCATTTATAATATTAGAAGGAAGAAGGATAGTAGGATTGGGAAGGAGAGTTCGTCTTAAACTACGGAATTAGTATTAATGTTTTATTCTATTTGTATATTTGAGCGAGTACTCTGATTTAGAACACACAGTTAATATCAATAGGTACTTACCACAGAGTTTGACAAAGTTGGGTTTTTCAGGAATCTGTTTTATATTGTTCAAAAAAGTTTCTGTCGTGTCGGTCGTGTCTGTCGTGTCAATCGTGCCTGTCGTGTCTGTCGTCTCTGTCATCTCTGTCGTGTCTGTCGTTTAGGTCGTGTCTATAAAACTCTACTACATCACCCTTAGTTCGATCATTAAGGAGGAAAAATGAGTGTTGCCTGGAAAGTTTTCCGCGTGTTTTGAAAATTGACAGTTTTGTAGATTTTGATGTGCTCTTTCCGATTTCCAATTTGCGCCCTCCTCGTACGTGCACCGCTCGCGCCGCCATGTTGAATAAATGGCGGTCAAAAACAGTATTTTTGCAATATCTCTTTTCCTGTGCATTTTACGAGAAAAGTTGACTACAAAATCAGCTTTTTTGTAATAAGTAGTTTTGGCGCCAGATCACAGCTAAGTATTTTATGAGCATTTTGGGAAATTTCCGAGCCTATTCAATGCAAACAAAATATCAAATCTTTCTTCTTTATAATATTAGTGTAGAAAATACAACAAAAGATGTTGTCCAATTTCGTACAAATATTTCGATATTTATACATATAACTTTTATTACCGTCTTTTTTTGTTACAAAAACTACATTGAACCAAAGGCGGTGAATTTTAACATCTTTGGTTGCATTGCACTGCATTGAACAGTTACCTAATTAGGCCATATTCTCAAAAGAGTTTGTATATTAAGTAGGTAATCAAACTATTTACAAACATTAGATTTGGCTTAATAATTTATATTACATTAAAGGCGGCAATAATTTGAATTCAGAAAAAGAACACAATATATTTTTGTCCTTGTCATATTGTGTCTGACGTCATTGACGTGTCATTTGTTTTTTTATAATGTTCTAAAGGCGGCAATAATTTGGACTAATAGAGAGAAAACAATATGTTTCTGTCCTTTTCATATTGTGCCTGACGTCATTGATATGTCATTTGTTTTTTATAAAAAACCCAGCAGCAATAATTTGGACTAAGAAAGAGAACACGATATGTTCCTGCCCTTTCCATTTTGTGTCTGACGTTATTGATATGTAGTTGGTTTCATTTTCAAGTGGTTTGTATGGGAAAAGAAAATTGATGATTGTAGTAATTTCCGTGGCACTCCTTAACAATATATGAACAAATTGCACGAAAAATAACTTTAACACTTAGTTGTTCCAGTTACCACAAGTTACCACAAGTTGGTCCAGTCTTTATCGACTTTTAACCAAACTAATGAACAGTAATTGAGTATAGTATATTCGATCCGGTAATCGAACTCATAGGATCTCACTTACTCTTATTATACTTATGAAAAATTGTGAGATCATTAACAATCAAGATGTCATATTTAAATGCGATTTTAATATCAAATAAACGTAATTGATATACTTACTAATAAACTAATAATATTTCAGCGGCCAAAGGCGACGATAGTTAAGCTCTAAGGTCGGTCAAAGTTCATTTATATATTTTTGATCACTTCTCAGAAATAGCAAATAGTCTGACGTAGCAGTCGGAATGGTACTTAAAGTTATAACAGACGTGGGCATAGAGGTATTTATGATGGTGATTAGTTTATGTCATCATTAAGTCAACTTAGGTATAAGCAGAAATTCCCAGATTTGCGCCTCATGACTGTTACCATATAAAAAACTTCATTGGATCATCAATTGAAAGCTGTTTTATTACCAGTAGAAACTTTTGTCTGGACAAGAATTAGGCCATTTTTAACACGAATGAGTAAATGCTTATCAAATTTACTCAAGACATTTTTAAAAATCTTAATAAAAAACTGCAATTAGAAAGCTTGTGTAATAAAATGTTGATAATTATAATTATTATTTTCTTCGCTACTCTTCAATCATTTTAAGTTTGGTGTTAAACGAATGACATAATGCTGAATTACTTCTCAATTTTAAATAGTACTCTGTAGTTTGCCAAAGTATTTGTAGGGACAGAAATGTTTTTGAGAACGGTTTAAAATTGAGTAGCGTAGCTACGCTACTACGAACGACCGGACGTAATATGTTCGTAGTCTTACAAGTTCGTCCCTTCTTGCCTTCGTCCATATACATAAAGGTAAACCTTTATATATCTTTATATATGTTGTATGTTTCTACGGGCCACGTAGCAAGTGCGTTGTATCGTCAATAAATTTGTCACGGGCAGTGCTGAAGGGTCAAGCGGAAAAACAAAGGTGTTAGTTTTACGGGTTTTATTGTAAATTACGATCGGTTTGGGGTGACTTTTACCAAGCATATATTACTCTCTTACTACTCAGTCTTTGATCTAGTGGTCTTAGCTGAGAATTTGAGGATGAATTCTGGAATTTGAAAACCACTTTACATGACATACATACATACAGCCTACAGGCTTGGAAATATGTATAAACGCCATGGGAATATTTAAAATAAAATGTGTATTTTCATTATTAAAAGTGTTGTGTTTTATTTTAAATTGTATATATTGCCTAACAAATCCTACTAATATTATAAATGCGAAACGCTTTACGTTCTGAATTGAACAGCTGAATGGATCGAGATGAAATTTTGTATAAGGGTAGATTATGCTCTGGTATAACATGATAGGCTACTCTTTATCCCACGGAAAATAGGGGCGAAGCCGCAGGCAGAAGCTAGTACTTAAATAAAGTTTGTAAAAGTATTTGATATCTTTACAGAAACATAAATAAATTATGTATCTTTTTAAGAAATCATTGTGCTAAAATACCCTTTATGTATTTCGTGTATATGAAACACCTATGTACCCGCCATGCAGCCACAGCGGACTCTATCAATTTCTGTATTTATTGAGGACCCACAGTTGAATAGGTCTTTTAAAATTTCATTCAACCATTTATATTTGGGTTCACGGTCCGTCTGCTATGAATAAAAACAGCGAATGAGTGGTTTTTTGTTCCGAACCATTTGCCATTTTTATTTGCGAATTAGGTTCGTATGAAAATAGGCAATCGATTTTATTTCGCGTGTTAAACTCGCAAGCTGCTTGTATGAATTCGGAGTCGCGGAGAACCTAACGGGTAACCGGGGCTCCGGCTCGACGCGCAGGAGAAGGAACGGGGTGGTTTTTAGTCAGTAAGAGTCTGACACTCCCTCCCGCCTCACCCAGGCGGGGGCAGTCATTCGATGATTTTCCCCCCTTAAAAAAAAAAAGCTGCTTGTATGAAATCTATTAGGATTTCTTTTCAATTATGGCATTGTACCAAAAAACATTTTTTATTTTATGTAATGTTAAATATACTGTTAACATGTATATTTAATGTGTGGTCATCTATATCTATACTAATATTATAAAGAGGAAAGATTTGTACCTATTTCTGTATGTTTGTAATGAATAGGCTCAAAAGGTACTGGGCCGATTTAAAAAATTCTTTCACCAATATAATGCTTTTAATGCTACATTCTTCCAATTTGACATAGCCTACATTTCATTTTGAAAAAAATTAGGGATCCTTGGTAAAATTTGAACAATGTAACCGAAGGTGTAGAAAAATGAGTCTTAAAATGTCTTTCGTCAAATGCGCTGCCGAAAATATTAGCGTTAGAACAAAATAATGTACAGCAATATTGAATAAGATTGTAGTTATGTCACTACAACAATCCAAATTTCCAAAAATAAATAATTGTCTATCCCGTGCGAAGCCGGGACGGGCTGCTAGTATTAAATATACATGATAACAGAATTCATTTTTCCGCAGTTTATCATTTCAATATTTATTCAACCATTAAAACAATAAAAAAGTATGTTGACAAAATTATTATCAAAAAAGGGGTAGATAAATGGGTATCAGTTTTTAGTATATTGCTACGTTTTAGCAAACGCTATCTTCAAATTTCAAAAATAGTTGTAGGCGATGGTGTTTAAATTAGTAATTTCATTGAAAACTTTTCCAATTTTAAAGAAAAATTACATAACCTAATTAAAGAAAAATATATAATTACATACCCGATGAAATATGAAAGGAATATTCTACTAATAATATAAATACAAAGGTGTTCATGTTTGTTTGTTGATCCTTCACGTTAAAAAGGCTGAAGGGATCGAAATGAAATTTGGAACAATTTATATACAAATATTCACTTCTGTCCACGTCTTCGGGGAACAAATTGTCTTACAGAAGTACCTAAGAAGTTGCTTTAAAAAACCAGTCTCCTCACTATAAGAAGTCGTTTCATGTAAGTAAAGAAAAATTGAGGTGTTTTATAGCAAGGGAGGTCCGATCATGTACCAGTATCCACATGAGAAAAATAGCTTACTCGATAAAATATGATTGGGAGCGATCTTTCTTATTGCCCGGCTCTTCACCTATGGGATACGGGTTCCGTGTTTGTAAATAATATTCAGTCTTTTGAGGCCAGTAGGTTAGTGTGGGTGTACCTTTAGTGGTTCATTTAGCATTTTGAAAGAATTTTGCCACGCTGTGGTTTTCTCCTATGTCGTGGATGAAATTAGATGAAGGTTCACAATAACACTTAAGAAAGACAATAATACCGATGATATTATTGTTGTTTACCAGCAATCTAGAGTAGAAGCGCGACGGGCATCGCGTGTCGCGAAATGCTGTTCATGAATATGGGTCTTTAGCATAGCTTGAAACTAGTCGAGTTTTACGTCAAACAGTTACGTGAGTAACCCGAACACATAATAATTAATGATGATATTGTTCGAAGCATAGCCAAAAAAAAAAACTGATCGGCGTCGCGTAGCAGCAAAATATAATCTGTGCTTCGAAAAATGAAAAAGTCAAGATGGCGGGAAATCTGAAGTTATTGAGGTGGCTTATTTGGTGTTGAAGGAATTTTAATCTTTTTGAAAGTCGATTTGCCTATTTATGTATTGTTGTTGTTTTTCAATAAATAGTTAGGTTTAGCTAGTCCTGATTTTGTAATTTGATTTCGATGTTAACAATATAAGGTGCATTGTAATGATGGTAGGTAGTACCTACCTCTTTTATTATACTTGCCTTCTGAGTTTCTAAAATCTAATGTGGTTTAATAAATAAATAATAAGTTTCTAATATCAAAGAGTAAGGGGAACTCTATGGCGAGTCTCTAGGTTTTCTAATAATATTGTAAATGAGTCAAGTATTTGTGAAAGTACCATTTCTTATTGATTGCTTATTCGTAACGTTTATATAACCTACTAGCTGACCCGCCAAACTTCGTACCGCTTAAAAGTTTTTTCTCACCGTTTAAACCTTCCCTAGACTTTCACGAACCTATCAAAATTAGCCAAATCGGTTCAACCGTTCTCGAGTTTTAGCGAGACTAACGAACAGAAATTAATTTTTATTTATATAGATTATTGCACAAACCTCCTTTAACAATGTTGTCCTATTTTGTACTTACTGTCTTACATAGTACCTACTTACCTATATAATATAGATTTTTTCTCATCCTCATTAATCTTAAAAATTTTAAGCATAGGCGTAATAAGTAGGTATCTATTTAGCTTCAGATCGAGGCTTTGCAATGCCAAAATTCTATTGTAATAATACCTAATTTAGCTAATTAATAACTATGATCTTTTTACAGTGATATAAACCCAAAATTACCTTAAATCATTCCGGTAGTATCTACGAACCTGTATGCAATTTAAGTAATCCACCTGCCTTTTAACAAATGCCATATAATTCAGACGAAAGACCCTACGAAATCCAGTCGGAATAACATCCCAAGGATTATCTATGAACTCGAAAATCAACTTCAAATGGAAATGGAATTGTTATCAAGCTGTTTATTTATCTTTTCCTCGAAACGTTCTGGAATATTCCTTCTAATTAACTTTATGCATATGCATAAAGTGTTCCGACGAGATGATGCAACTTATACATTCCCAACACGCGCAATACAAATTACAAGTAAAACGATATGGTGTCCCTTTAAATAGACGTCTCTCGATTGCACATCCCTTTCCTATCAAAACAAATATTAGCTTGTTAGAAAACGAAACTAACCTCTTTCTCTTAATTTATAAGGTTTAGTTTCGTGTGTTGGTTGAACCAAAACAAGAAATGATCACCTAGGACCGGCAGTGGCCGGTCTCTAGGGGCTAAGAGTTCCAATATATTTGTGCGGGCTCGGGCTGGCAACTCTTCAAGATTACTGTCAGCAAATAGGACAGGCCGACGTGCTCTGAAAAGTAGATGGCCGATAATACGACCTAGTGCAACTTCCGATCATTTCCTTTACTCCAGGGATACTCTGACACTTGGGTGGTAATTCCTTTTTGATATACTTGTGTCGAGGTGTACGAGAAATTCGATGACCAATGTATTTTTTTTATTTTTCTTATCGCCTCTCACTTAGTAGCGAACGTGTGTAGACCTGAAGCCAATTTGAAGTGTATATATTGTTCAATTATGCTATTCATATTGGTAAGATCAATATTGATCTTATTATAATTGGGATGATGACAGGGTATGAAAATCAAAAATATAATTACTTCGTAAGTAAGGTAATGAAAAAATATTATACACGTATTTTTTTATTTTGTCGTATAATAAAACAATACTTAGATAAAACGAATCAAAGTTTAGGAGAGGGGGCTAAAACGTCATTTCTACGTGAGGTGACGTCACGCGACATTTCAAATCGGTATACCGTCGAAAGTATTCGTTTCTGTAAAAAAAATAAAAATAGGTGTCTAATGATTTAAAGTAATCTACCAGATGGACATTAAAATAAAAATTAGGCACCTACCCTATTATTATAGGAAACAATTTTGTTTTGTATCAGGTAAGCTAATGTTAAGATATGTGATCTAAACTCTTGTACGTCATCACGTTTATCTTTAATTAAGAGCGTAGCACGCTAAAATCATCTCCATAAATATACAGTTGAATACAAATAAACAACAACAAACTTAACGTTTAAATCCTTTATCAAACTTACCACGAAGTTGCAACTTACTAATAAATAACTTCATAAATGCATCGAATAACATGAAATAACTGGATAACAAACGTTATTCACAACTGGTTACACACAGAGTACAAAGTAATACGTGGTTACTGTCAAAGGTTTGAAGTAACGATATCGACGTGAGCTCTAGTCTTTTGGTACTATTTATGATAGTCACACGCATGTAAACCTACTTAAAACTCTCAAAATTCGTTAGTGATTTTGAACCTTAACGTAAAGTGGTAAGTTTGAATACACAATTAACAGACCGGAGTAGTTTGACGTGCTGGTGTCTACTATTCTAATAGCATGACTCCCTGTTTATATCCCTTACGTGACACGTACGACTTCTAAGTGCATTGTCTAAGCAAATTGCAAGTAAACGTTTAGAAAGCGCACTTAAATATTATATGCTAGTATTTCGGCTGCTTACGTTTATGGTAACATCGTTGCCATCCATAGATTCTATTAGGTATTTAGTTTATCTTTTTGGAATAGTGCCATAGGTAGCCACGGGTAGGGCATTTCCATTCGGTTTATAGTAAGCCAGTACATCCTGACTGCACTGCACTGCACTGTTTGACTGCACGGTTGGTGCGGTGGCTGGGCAACTGGCTGCCGCGGTCCGATTCCCGCACGGAACAACTCTTTGTGTGATCCACAGATTGTTGTTCCGGGTCTGGGTGCCATGTGTATGTGAACTTGTATGTTTGTAAACGCACTTACGACACAGGAGAAAATACTAGTGAGGGGCAACGTATTTTTTAAAAAAAAACAAGTCTTGTGAGTGGATATGATCATTTTTTAATTTCGAAGTAAAGCAACATGTGGCAGATGAAACGACGTCACTTAATCCCTTAATCCACTTTTAAACGTGATGAGATACCGATAAACACGCAATAACCAACAGCAGCACGGAAAGAAAGATAATTACAGCAGTCGTTGAGTCGTTGACAAAGTTCGGATCGTGGGACGAGAGCAAAGTAATATCTGTGTGAGTGGCGGCGCGTAATTGAAAGCCGCGGTTTGGCCCAATAACAATGGAACCCCGTACAGTAACGTTCGCCGCGTATAAATTAGGGAATTATATTAATCGCGTATAACGCCGGCGTCCCCCCACCCCGCGCCTCGCCCCGTGCCTAACGAGGTTACTCTTGTTGCGGATTACGTACTTGTAGCTGGAAATTACACTTTATTACGGTTACAGTCTAGGAATCCGAGAACTTTAATTAGAAGATCCTCTATGTGGATATTAACGTTTAAATATTCTACTCCTAACATTTTTACTCTGTGTATAAAATTAAGCTACACTATCTTTACAACACTAAAGAAAATGCCGGTGAAATTTTCTTCCTTGTAACAAGATTTTTCCGCGAGATTAATACCGAGATAAAAGGCTAGGTAATTTTTGCAAGCATTAACGTTCCCGGCGATATTATTTATAATTTAATTTTCAGTGCCGCTGCAGGGAGCACAATCAATTTGCGAGAAGATAATGCGAGGGAAATTAACGCAAGATAACACGGTATTAGCGACCCACCTGGGGAAGGATTACGTATTCTAGATAAGTAAATATATTGCCCTCCATTACCAGAAAAGAACAGATATTTAAGGGAAAACACTGTAATGTAATTGTCGGTGCAATCTAAACGAGCTTCAATGAAACTCGAGGGAACTTCTAATACTGTTTATCAGTGGTACGTTCTGTGGGCCTTTTGTTTATTATGGGCTCGATACACCGCGCCACATATTTTAATATTCTTAAGCCTTTGTTCTGGTGAACATCACTGGGACATTTAAGTTTCAACAAACTTATCGCAGTTATTTGTACGCACGAAAAGTTTGGGGTGGTTTTGGCAACGTAAATACAATGAATTTTAGGCAGAGCGAACATTATGTTATGATGTTCTGTATATTAAGATGTTTGTATGCATTCATCAATCACAAATTGTCGGCATCGCCCAGCATGAGTCCGCAGTCGATGACGTAGCAACTTCCAGTGATACAAGTTGCTCTATCACTCGCGAGGAACATCACTAGTTCCGCCACATCTTCGCCTTTTGTTGTTTTCTTCAAAGGAGCGCTCATTTCGATACCAGCAAACATCCTATCACAGTTTGTTTCACTCATGCCTCCTCTTTTAAACATTTCTGTCTTCACAGGTCCTGGATTGACAGCATTCACTCTGACTCCTCGTGGTCCTAGTTGTAGCGCTGTACATTTAGTCAGCATGTCGATGGCTGCTTTAGACATGCAGTATGGAGTCATGATGGGCAGCGGTTTGTTTGACAGGATACTAGAAATATTTACGACGTTTCCCTTCGTTTTCAGTAAGTACGGTGTCGCTTTAGTAGTGAGCAGGTACGTGGCACGTACATTCGTTGCCATAACTCGGTCGTAAGTTTCTGCTGACGAGTGAGTTTCGGGCACGGAGTTTATCCCAGCATTGTTGATTAGAACGTCTATTTTTCCGAATTTGTTTGCAGTGTCTTCTACTATTTTATCTAGGTCAGTGTCTGATGTCACATCTGCAACTATTAGGAGTGGTTTTATATGGTTTAGTTTTTCACATAGCTTTCCGATTTTACTTAGATTGTCTAGATTTCGTCCTACTAGTGATAGTGTGGCTGATGATTTAGCGAAGGCAAGAGCGCAGGCAGCTCCTATCCCCGAGCTGGCTCCTGTGATGAGCACTACTTTGTCAGTGAACATCGTACGAGGTGTAGGTGAGTACTGAGTGATATTGTAGGAGAGCTCGCAATATACACAGTGGAGCCGGTAGTGAAACACTTCCGCATGTCATGTGACCACACGGTGAGACTGTTGGGATCTAATGTCGGTTCTAACTTCCTGGTGTATTTAATTTCGTCTAGTTTATTATTATATACTAGCGACCCGCCCCGGCTTCGCACGGGTGCAATGCAAAATATACCTACTACAGAATGCCCTTATACACAACGTTCACAGCTTTTTTGTCATTAGCCAATACAAACATGTTTTGCTTAGACGTTACTCTTGACAGCGCGACATATAATTGGCCATGTGAAAAACACTCAACACTCAAGTCTAATCCTGCAACGTTAAAAGTTTGACCCTGCAATTTATTAATGGTCATTGCAAAAGATATCTTTACCGGAAATTGTAGACGTTTAAATTGGAACGGTAAATCTGATGGTATCAGAGGAATTCGGGGAATTAGTACATCTTCTCCGGTGCCACATCCGGTGAGTATTGTGCACTCTATTATAAATTTTTTTAGTGATTTTACCAGCAAACGTGTGCCATTGCAGAGCTTAGGAGGATTCAGATTTCTTAATAAAATAACAGGACAACCTACTTTCAATTCCATTTTATGAGGAGGGAGTCCAGAAGGGTTCAAAGAATTAAGAAATTCTGTAGGAAAATATACAGCTTCTTCTGAGTCGAGAACAGTATCGGCCGAGTAGTATATTTGCGTCGGCGTATCAATTTTTGCAAGAATCAAGTTGTTTGCCTTATCTACTTGTTCGTTGGTTGGTGACAGGATGGCTCTTTCTTTGAACCAAGATAGAGTCTTACAACTTATGTTATGAATGTCAGGATAGACATTGTTGACCAAATCTTGGATGTTGTCTATCAAAACACAAAGGTTATCTAGGTTAATCCTTCCATCACTATGAGTTAATTTTCCATTGCCAACTTTTAGCAGCATCTCTGAAAAAAGCTTAAATTCCATGCTGTAAAAAGTATATTGATCTATAATAAATGCACAATTTATTTAAGGTACTTAATTGGATAAGGATTAATGCTTCTAATAACTTCCGTCACCATCACCACCATCACCACCATTATCACATAGGTTCAGTGGTGGACGTGTTGTGGCTGATATGGTTATTTTAGTGATCCGAAGCGGTAGGCAGAGGTGCACATTATGGCAATTAATGCTACTGTATAATGTAATACCCAATTTTGAATATTTTATATAGTCCCATGTTCACCCTTTCACAAAACACCATATACCGGGCACAATTCCAAACTCAGTAATAATATTGAGAATTTTTTCAAAACCTAGTACTACTTTGCCCGACCTGGGAATCGAACCCGAGTCCCCTTGCCCGGCAGTCGCACTTACGACCAAATGGCCAACGAGTCAGTCTAGGCAGTATTGTGTAGTCTTTGTATATGTTCTTGATTATTAATACATATTTATTGGTTATCTTTCCTTCTTTAATACTGTGTCATTGAAAGGTGGAAGTTAGGAGATAAATGAAATACATGTCTAATTTTCGATACAATTTATTGGAGTCATCTCGATATACGAAAGACAACATTCAAAATTTGAAGCGAATTTTATATTTACATCGTCACTTATATCAAATCGAAACTTATCATAAAAGCTCCCTAAATTGTCTTTGGCACTTGCTTTACACTAATACATAATTTAAATACATTTATAGATAGGTTAAAGAGAAGTTATGAATAGATGAACAAGGGGAAAGCTGTATAATAAGTAGAAGTACTACACACAAAGAATCACAACCAATCTTTTAGATTTCCAAGCATTTGAATTCTATTTGGAACAAATGTCTGCCAATTCAAGACAGGACATGTTATTGGCATACGGCCATCCATTTAGATGTAAGAACATTTGTCCAAATGTTTTGAAAAGGAATTGGATGTAAGAGTCCCCACTCATCTCCGCAGGTGGACACCCAGCCTTAGCCAATAAGGATCGTGAGGCCAATACTTAAGGAGGGAAACGGTTTCACTCCCAAGAGGGATTTGTAACCGAATGATTTGCATATTTATGTTGAGACAACAATATTATCATTGCAGATTAGTTTTCAAATATTAATAAATAAATTATTTCTAGAGAAGATCAGGAAATCTATGGCGGCGAATGAATTAGAAATTTGGTGTAGAGATTGTGTTTTTTTTCGCTTTATTATATTTTGTTCTCGAGGGATTTTCTTGAGATTTTAAGGTGTAGGTAATTTAACACATTGGACGCCGTGTCAGAGAATGATGTCCGACGCTAGCGGAGGTTAGCCTTTAACAGTTTTTATTGGCAGTTAAAGGCTTAATCGAATGATCTAGGAAACAACCTTGAGATTTATTCCAAGGTTACAATACAATGTACCTAATGTAAAATAAGAGCAATTGAGTAAAGAAGATCTAGATATATGCACAGGTTATGTTCTCTAATGACAATAGAACTACTTGATATTAAAATGGATGATGAAAGCAGAATATTAACAGACTTCACTCGCCATTTAGGAATGCACTACAAACATGGGAATCGAAGATTTATTTCAAAGTGTTAAAGTTCTTTATTGCAACGAACATGCAGTAATATTTCATAGGATTTCGGTAAAATTGACGATCGAATTGGCATGAGTCAGCGATTTCGTTGACCATATTGGGTTGTATAAAATTCACGATTATGATGCGAGTAAAATCTGTTGAATGCACTCTACCGTACACTAGTAAATATAGTCGAATAGTAGTCATAAAACACTCGTAACTTTGTACAAAAATGATGTGTGTAAACACTGGAGGGAGTGCGATACTGGACGTTTGTGTTATACCACCCTTCTACACTTAACATCTTATCGTTAACACGTACTTATAGTTACAGTCTAATTAAACTTAAGTAATTAGTTAGATACTTTTGATAGAGGAACTTAGTGGTAGGGTTGTGCGGCGAACTGAAGAGCCGCTGAGCTATCAATCATAAAGGTACAATTGCACAAATATGCTGGGCTTACCATGGTGTTCAGTGAATCATACATTACTAACGTGGTACAGGTCGTAAACAAAATGTTCACCGTATGAAGTATGAAGGGTAGCCTCGATGGTAAGGTCCGGTCGATACACGGCGGACCAATATATTAATATTTTGCCCACCGAACCGAAGAGGAGCATCAAAATACCTCGCTCACAACCATTTTTAAATCAATTTCATCCAACTTATGAAACATGTTTTCGATGAACTGGAAACTTTTAAAAAAGTAAACGCGCTAGTCTTAAAAATATCGCAAATTATTTCGCTTACATTTTAATTACATCATGTTCTCGAACAGGTACGTGTGACTCCCGGTCTTAAATTTTACATTGTTTAATAAACAAAGGGGCTTACGTCAAAACACGAAGTTTACACCCTACTTAGACTAAGTTACCCTTACAAATTGTGACATTGTAATCGACTACACAATAGAAAAACAAACAATTACATAATTAATTCCTACGTAATGACTAAAATTAGAAACTAGAATTTTTATATAAAAATAATCACATGTTTCTACTACTATCACTAGAAGCGGCTGTACATGTTAAAATTAAATTATTTACATCTACAACTGTATTCCATGCCGTACAATATACTAATTAGAAAAAATCTAGACGTCGACTAGGATCTAGACACAGAATATGAAAAAGACTACGTACATAGAATCGAACATCTAAGATTCGAGATCACAATATCGCTTGGCAATATAACCTTACATATAATGACTAGCAACCTACACGAGATCAACATTTAGAATGGCTTCAGATGTAAAATATGTATCGTTGATTAATCTTAATAAATAAGCTCACCGGATTAATTGCATACATATACGCAAATAATGCTTAATATCCTCAGACCAACAGCCAATGAAATTACTTGATAAAATTGTAGAAGCGTACGTATAAATGTACCTACGCAATCGTATAAAGTTGGAAAATATTTTAAAATATGTCTACAAAATATGGCAAGGTCGGATGAATCAATTCTACATAATTAGAGGGCGACTCTAATTCTGTTATTAACTCGATTCAATTCCAGGATAAATTGACTGACCCAGGGTACAAACGGGTCAAGCAGTTAATAAAATAATGACTACGATATACATATTTTATCCTACAAAAATAAATACAGTTTCAATGGCTGTCGGTGTTTCTACAAGATATAATAGGGATGATGACTGGGTATCTAATAAAAATTAATTTCCGTTCTTTATTCTCGCTAAAACTCGAGAACGGCTGAACCGATTTGGCTAATTTTGGCCTTGAAATGTTCGTGGACGTTAAGGAAAGGTTTAAAAAGAAAAACAATTTTTAGGTGCTACGAAATTTGTGGCGACACCTAGTGATAAATAAAACTCGGTTAAATATATGTATGTCAAATAGTCTTGCTCAGTTTAACTTTAAAATGTAGGTTCGTGTACCCTTATAGGTATTTATCATCAAGTGTCGTATGGTTTCGTCTCCATTAACACCTTGAACGCCATGGGGGACAAGGTATGGGCCACGATAGGGGAGGGGTTACCCTCAACAGTTTTCTGTCGGTAATCAAAGGCTTATATTGTATTAAATTGCATAACTTATTTTTTTATTTAACCTGGTGTATAGAAAGTATTTTGTCATCATCCCTATTTTATCTACTGACGTCTAGGCATTCTTGAGATGATGCGCATCATGATCGCAGCGGCGTAGAACGGCAAAGTGCGTCATTTGGAAGGTGTTCGAGGTTCGGGAGCCACGCTCCAGGGTTCCTGTCATGGTGTACCCCATGTTGAAGTCAGCCTGCGTCACGTTCGTCGTCAGATACAACTGTTGAATAAATAAGAATCTGTTGAACTTAAGCTACACTGGTTTCATTATTGTAAAGTAAAAACAATTTAGAAAGAATTTCTAGTAGGTTACAACCTGCCGTTTGAAGAGTTGTAACCAATAGTAAAACTACAAATTTCTGACTCTAAGTCCAGCTGGTAATGTATTCAGGTGATATCGAGTCCTCTAGAGACAAATTTATGTAATTTGGTAAGGTTCTATTGAAGGTAATGAATAAGTTTTACCTTAAAGTCGGCATCAACCCCCATATGTTTGAAAGTGCCAACGATGTAGACTGCGTTGGCGCCGCTGATCACCATCCGGGCGTGGGTGCTGTGCCTGTAACAAGTATACAGTATAATCGACTTTTTCTTTAACCTTATAGTTTTTTGTTTGTTTATTTGAACACACTAATCTCTGAAACTACTGGTTCTATTTGAAAATATTTTTTGTGTTGGATAGCTCATCTATCGAGGAAGGCTATAGGCTATAAAACATCACGCTATGCCCATAAGGAGCCGAGCAGAGGGAGTGAAATCGCGCGGATGTTGCTACAAATTCAAATAAAATTTTAATAAGTGACCATATAGAAGAAGATAGAAGACGTTAGGCACGAACCTACTTAAACATTCTTGCTGAATTGTAGTTCTCAATACTATCAGCGGAGTTTTAACTTTAGTCTTTGGAAAATTATTATAGAAATACCTCTAGATTCAAATTATAAAATAAGATACATATCTTAAGAACCGACGCATAAATCAAGATACGTATCTTAGATACAACTTACAAACGATGAACAAGTATAACTTATATTTCGGTGTTCAGAGGCAGACAATGTGTGACGTCACCGGCCGTTTGTCACCGCGGCAAGAATTGGTTGAAGTTCAGCGCGACGGCGACGTTCACCTTAGTCCACAGCCTCCTTGTAATACCCCACAGACATGAGAGATTTATCTCCGCTCGACAACCTCATAACTACTACCCCTACGAATTATTTGCTCTACCATATTAGACACATTGTACGAAGAAATATTGCTATCTACTTCCACGGATTTGCTCGACACTTTTACAAGAATTAATATTATATGCCCAAACACGAATATCGACTTTTTGACAAAACCAAACTTGCCCACCTTCCGTAATGACATTGTCCTCCCATTGGAGAGCGAACGAACAAACTGTCAAAGGCCTGTCAAGTTACGCAAACTAATTTGAAGAGAAAAAGTCACGTGTAAACTTAGAAACTTGAGTCTTCCTGGTGCATTTGCGAAGGCTGTGGAGTCGTATGCCGGTCACGTATCCCAGTTAGTAGGGCGCGAGTCCAACACGTACCTTCTGAGGCTCTAACGGCCCTGTAATGGCCACCGCCCTATAATAACCCTGAACACTCTCGCCTCTGACTACCCACCAGCAAATTAAAATCCCTTTATGCGTGCTCCGGCGATACTTTCTTCCAACTAAACGAAATTAAATCGACGTTTCCAAAATTAGAGGCTGTGTTTGCACTTTCGAAATAGGTACTAACATGGAAGTTATTGTAATCGAATTGGAATCACATCGAATCACAGAATTCGTAAAGAAGGATTCATTCTGGTAATATCTTTAAACTACAAATGAAAAGACTACCTAAGCTTTAAAGGCTGATGGAAAACAAAGCCATTAATTATTACAATTCAAAAGAAAAGTAAAATGATACTTTTTTACTCGATTTAAATAAACAAAAGCCCAATTAAGACCCGCGGCTGGCCGGCAATTATGTTTTTTGTGGAAACATAATAAACGTAACTTTCCGACTGAGCTTTATCTACATTGGAAATAGGCAAGCACGAAGCTATCTGTGAGGAGTATCGTGAGATACATCTCATTTACGCAAAATAGTGGGACGACTGGCAATAATCGTTAACACTAACTGCTCAGTTTAACTGTCGCGTCGTAGCTTCGACGTTTTTCTCCAACCAAATTTATTTTCCACAGTTTCCCCGGTACGAGGATACATTTTACTAATAGCTGCAGTTCAGGCATCTGCGACAATATTGTGGTTACAAACTGGTATTGATCATTACTTTGAACTGTTTAACGCTCCGCATCGACACAACGGTTAAACTGCTGAACTTTGTATCGTTAACACCCGTGAGACCATCTAATTTACAAAATAAAGTTGTTCAGTAGCCGTTAAATAAATACTTTATGTTGTAGTGGTGTGATAATAAATAGCACCTCATTCGCGCTAAGCCCTTTAGCATCCGCCATCTTTATTTACGGCACGTTCGCGCCACTTCTCAGTGCGATCGCGCGATAGTGGCGCCGACCACTTCCCGCCGTTTGTCAAACAACGGCTTAGTGCGCTCACCTGAACCACGCCGCCGGTTAATTGCGAAAAGCACGTTAACGTGCAACAAACATGATATAATGTTTCCTCTCCGTGGCGAAAACCTTAATTATATTTTCCACTCGACACCCTCGTTTTCTTAAAAACATTGTTTAAGATTTTTGTAAAACAATACTTTGAATTTTTTTCATTTAGCCTGCTGCAATACTTGCACCCCACTGTTAAGCCGCTTGATTACAGTAATATTAGGATTTTGTTTAATGTCGACATAAGGAAAAGCCGTACTGAAATGCATTATTGCATTAGGTAAGTACCTCGTGTTCGTGGTATGGTCGTAAAAGTGCAGTAAGCGGGTGGAACAAGTGTCAATAATGTCAGTAGAGCTACATAAAATCGATGCGATTTGTAGGTACCTAGTAAGTAGAGTATTTTTTTAATAAATCGTAGTACCTACCTATTAATGTAAACACTCACCTCCTGGTTCCTGCGACCTCGACGACCTTGCAACGTGACCGGCGCCACCAGCACGGCTGCAGCGTCCAGTAGGACGAGGACGCGCTGCGAGCCCAGCCCTCCTCCGGGAACATTAACACCTACACACAAAAACAATGTTTTACTTACATCGCCCTATTTTACTTGGCAAACTTTCTGATTGAAACAGACGGTTTTATTTACATTTCCAAGTCCGCATAAATTAATTTGATAACTTCTCCCGCGTCAATACCGAGGGAATGCTCGATTGATGTTGTTTTAACAATCGTCGTATTGTTCGCTCACCAATATTTTACGAGCCCTGTCTTCAATCTAAGAACCTGAACGAGCGCTTCACGAAACGTTGAGTACGAATTAACTAAATTACAAAACTTTACAAGCCTTTCGACGGCGGGTTGAAAAATAGCTTTCTGACTAAAACTAATATTGCAGGCCAGAAACAAAACAGAGCGGAGTTGTAACGAAGTTGTTTCAGACTGGCGAGTTTACAACCGCGGGCGTAGGAGTGTGTAACCCGCTCCGTGCTCGTTTACGTTTACAGCGGGTGCTGTTCCGCCAACAGCGTCATCGATAACGTAAACGCGGAAGCATATTGCCACCGAGACTCGTTCAGTCGATTGGCTTCTGGCATTCCGTCCTCATTTTCTTCACCGCATCTCTGGCAATATTTTTTTTCGTAAAATGTTTTCCTGCTTTCGACAATATTGCGCCCGTTTCAAAGGGGCGGAGCCGTCGAGGATAAAATCGCTTTCACATTGAGTGAGCACACTAATGATTGAGTTCCGTGCGGTACGGCCGGCGCGGCGCGGCGTACGCGGGCGACGCGCGACGTCTAGCACGGGGACAGTCCACGTCCGCTCACCCTATCCTGCAGCCCTTTGATCAATGTACTTCACTGTTTAATGGTTTTAAAAGCATTTCATTGTTACGGATTTCGAAATGGATTTGATTTAAACTAACTAAATTGGAATGTCTACATTACTGGTAGGGTATTGAGGTAGTGGACATTATTCATGTCGTTGACCCGAGAATATGAAATATTCTGTAACTTTGATCCGCTGAAAACTTGTGTACGTAGGTACAGTTAGACTGGTGAGTCAATACAACTGTGGCCAAATTAATACAGCTGTTTAATGTTCAAAGTACGTCGGTGGCTCTGACTGCTCGTAATATAAAGCTCTACGGGATAGTTTGAATTTGGAAAGTCACGTCTATTCTCTGTGGTGTGTGCCAACTCGCCGATGGCCATTACGAGTTTGGGACAGATAATATTCGGTAACATTTGACATAAGCATTCCGGTAACTCTCAAACGGAACGTCCATAAACCTCTAACAACGTTATTCAGGGGAATTATTATTGAATCTCATAGAATATTAAAGTTAGTAACGTCCAAAATATTGAACTATTTTAGTTCTCCTTTTTAATTTATTGTTGGTTACATTAATTATTACACGGAAAATATTTAGAGTCATCCTCTAGTTTTATTATTTAATTATAGCTTTTCTAATATATTTTATTCGTAGTACCTCTATTGTAACATAACATAGCATAACATCACGCCTTTTATCCCCGAAGGGGTAGGCAGAGGTGCACACTAGCCTGCATAGTCATATTTATATCATGTTTCTTGTAAACTGACCGTGTCTGTTTTATAATGACTGTATGCTTTTATGATAATAAAGAAATTATAAACAAAAAAAAGAGGTGCACACAGAAGTAACACCCACTATTCACTATTTATGTTATGAGTCCCATGTAATAGGGGGTGATATGCCATATACACATTTCCAGACTCCGTGCTACTACTGAGAATTTTTTTAAGAACCCAGTAATACTTTGCCCGACCCTGGAATCCAACCCGCGACCCCTTGCCCGGCATTCGCATATGCGACCACTCGGCCAACAAGGCAGTACCTCTATTGTATTTTTATACAAATCTACTAGGAAACCAATCAGAACGCCGAACGCGGTCGCGAAGTGTGATTTTTTACACAAATGTACAAAAGTACATAAAAATCACACTTCTGGCTAAAGCAACACAAAAAACATTCAATAAATACGTATAAGTGTCCTTTATAATGAAGTCACATAAATTCATTCCCAATTTTCTATTAAGGCGAGGTTTTTTACACGCGACCAGACAAAAGCACTTCAGTGACACCCATTAATATTCAAAAGCTCTCGTGGCGCCATCTATCAACACCTTTTTATATGAAGCAATCAATTCGCGGCTCGAGAGTCGTCCAATTACGAAGCGATCTCGAACCGATCTATTAATTACTTGGTGACTGCGCCTGATTCTACCATAGTTCATATCTTTATATGAATTAAAATATCGTAAAATAGTTCTTGACCTTAATTAGTGTGCTTTATACCTACATTTTTAGTAGTCTTGGTAATTTACTGTTGATTTATTGGCAGAAATATAGCAAATTTTCCGATTTCTGTAATATGACTGTTCAAAAGCTTCGGAAACCATCATTTTCATTTGATGGGATATCGTAAACTCTTCTTTCAAATCTGTTTTATTTTAATATTGGGAAGGAAATGGATTGCAAATAAAAACGCAGCGTAATAGCTGTGCTGATTTTGAAGCCGTCTGGAGTTGCTGAATAGTTCGGCAGCCTCCTCCGACGTGGCTTATCATTGATATCTTATAGCATCAGATATTATTTCTGCAACTTTATTGTTGCAGCTTAATTTCGTTTCGCTTCTTTATTTTTCATGAAATATCCTGCAATTTCACATACATTTCTCATGAATCAAATTGACTTCATGCTTTCACAATTACAATTTATAATTATCGAACTCAGGAAAAGATCATGGAGCATAGGTACCTGACTTTATTGTCTTGTATTCATATAAATTCAATAATCAAAGGATAACACCAAAAAGTTCCTTAACCTCAGAAATCAATACTGGCCTACAACAAAATGCAAACTCAAATCCCGTAATTCGAATTTTAAAATGTCGATGCAGAATTCATGGCGCGCAGTTGATAGTCACGCGCAGGCTCTCGAGTGGAGTGTTCGCGCCTCGACCCAGCAACGTTTAGAGGCTCGCTGCCGACATGAGCAGCAATTTACTAGAGGAGCCGCCGAGCCAAGTGCAGACCGTACTTCACACCATATTTTAATAACATCTAAATATTTGTGACAGTCGCTAATGGAAGTGCTATGCGCTTGAGTTTGTGGTTTTTCCAATTAACTTTTTACACATTCTCATTGCCTGTTTCTTTCGTACACACCATATGCATAGTTCTTATTCAGAATTAAATAAATGATTTCATCTTAAAATGTTCCATTCTGGTCACAAGTAATTCTATTTTTTTTTTATAAAGTATAGGTTGACACTTTATATCAGCATAAATGTTGAATATGCAAACCACAAAATTAAATACTACGTAGTGTATGATTACAAGTACTACACGCACCAGTGGGACAGTCCATTTATGCTCATTTCAAAAATAAATCTAAATAAACTCAACAATCCTAGCCTTCGCAATCCGAACACCCACAATGGCGAAGTTGATATCATCAGCTGTCACGCACATGTAAGCCAGAAAACCTCAAGCGGTATATTTATTCCCAAAGTGGTCCTATCCAAATAGTAAAAACCTTCGGTATATAACAAGGGATTTATTACTTTGTTTCCTTCTTGATAAAACCGAAAATAATATGACTGGGCGAAATTGTATAACAGTGGCTTAATGTTATGTTATGGGGCGAGTTATGTAATTCCTTGTTCTCGTAGTGTAGTGGGTTCGTCCGACGCGCTGTAATTGGATTTAGTCTGGACTCCGGAGTGCGGATTAGGGCTTTAAGGGCCATACTAATGATACAATTTTCAACTAACTACCGAAAGTTATCGAGTGAATAGTCTGGCTTTATTTGATTCGAGATCGTACGTGCTCTAATTGTATCTAACATTCAGATGATTGTTTACCTTGTGACGTTTCGAGTACAATATTGTGGATGACACTAATCGATATGTTGTTTTTAAATTTGATATAGGTATAATACTAAACTAAATTGTTTATTAAGATTAATTAAACAATTACTTTGTATTTACTGTGAATACTTTGTACAATACAAAATTGTAACCAAAATTGTCATTTATCTGATAAAGTTATTTTTGATAAGATCATTTATTTCAATAAAAACTGAAATAAAATGAATACTAACTATTACTGAATTAAATATATACAACTTAAAAAAAAAATAATTAAAATAAAACTAAAAACTATTGTTAAGATAACGTTGATTTTAATACTTTTAATTAGTTCGTAAACTTTTTCTTTCCTTGTAAAATAAACAATGTGTCCCACAAACACGGCCCCCCTACTGTCCTGTACTGTTGATGGTATTTTGTTTTCCTAGGGATGAAAGTTTGCTTGGACATTATCATTCCTTTATATTGCGTATCTGTTTGCTCAAATATACGAGTTTGTTTAGGTCCCTGCGATTGATTTATGACAATATCTATCTAGTCGACGTCTTCTCGTCTTGAAATGTGATATTATCTATGACTATGACCATAGAAAAAGTTATTAATATTTTTATTGACATAGGTATGGCATGCATTGTTTCTTTTTAGAGCAATTTTATGTAATGTCATTGCTAACATTAATTTGTGATGTCCGCTAATTTGTGAACTAAGGATGTTGTATATTTTATATGTAGTTCATCTCAAATTAATTGGATTTAATTTTAATTTTTTATGTGTTTATTGTTTTGGATATTAACGTACAAATTACATTAAAATCAAATTAAAAAGAACCCAAAATTTCACAAGCACTGTAGCTGGATATAGAGAAAATAATTCGCAATTAACACGCGGTTATAGCTGACTGTCACCTTATTAGCATTTTAACATCAGCAATAAACTGGAATGGCTAAAATATCAAATAGAAACACCAACAAAACCACTTCCGAGAGTCTCGTTATGCCATCCGTCAAGGTACCCAAGACATGAGTAACTAAATAATTATGCATCTAATTAAAAGTTACGACTATTTTCTTTTTTCTTTTCATGTGCGATGAAAGCGTGAACTTCGGGAGGAAGTCAAGAAAACTTGTGAGGACTTGTGAGGAGTGATGC